CCTCCTTATTCCCGATGGAGGAAACTTGAATATTGAAGGGAAGCTTCGAGATATAGCTGTCGTCGATGACGTTGTGGTCATAACTTAGAACCTCCTTGTCAATTAAAGATCATGTGTTCTCCATCAAAAATGCACAAAACCTGATGATGAGAACTCTGAGTCAGTTTTACTATCAGGCGAGGGGGTCTCACCATAAACTTCCCTAATAATTTGGTGAAACTCCGCTCGACTCAGATGACCCTCGCATTCTATCATGCATTCATTTCATATTTTACTTCTCTCATTAGAAGTGAGAGAAATTGGAAACTCTCCCAAATCATCACAATATCTTATTATAACCATAATAAAGAATAAGAAAAGGGAGAGGGAAAAGGAAAAAAACTTGAGGCGTGAACTTGTAGATAAAACGATTGAATGAGGAAGCAAAAGAAACTCGTCAGCAATACTTGAAAGAGGGATCACTTGCTTTGATGATAAGCAAATGAATAAAAGAGTCTTTTTATTGAATAAAAACTTACAACGGCCAAGAAGTTGTATCAGACAGAAACAATGATGATAAGTGAGAATCCCCATAAAAAACGATATTGTGGCAAGGAGAGAGAAAGTCAGCTGAAAACGATAATTCATATAGTAAGTGAGCGGGAGGAATTCCAAGACTTTCATGTTCGAACACTTCAATCCAATTAGATATCGTGATTAGGGGGCTTATGTACATCCTGGAATTTCCTAGGTCAGAGCTTTTGCAAGCCGAGTACAAGAGCAAGCAAGTCGGATAACATGATCTTAGTCATGTCAGAGCCATTTAGGGTAAAGTAGTATTACCAAATCATAGCAGGTCGGATTCAGTCTTAGGATAATTACAGCTGAGGAATAAGTCATTCCGATCTCTTGAAAGGTACTAGAAAGCAACATGAATGGTCACATAGAACAATTATGAAACATCTCCATTATTGCATATGAGTTACGAAAATTAATGGGAGAAACGTTACTTGATAGTTATGAAAGACGGCGGACGTACTAAGGGTAGTTTTAACATAGGATATGAAGAGGCGTCCTTAAAAAAACCATTGATTATGGAGTGAGTATAAAAAGAGACTTCCCAAACGAGAAATGAGGACAGTAACTAATACCTCCTAACTAATAGAACGATTGTGGTCTCACATGACTAACTTTAGGGAGATCTCTCCAAATAGTATTTAGTAAGAATAGTTACTTTAGTAAATATTTTAAAATGTTGATTATTTGAGTTATTTTTAAAAGCTTAATTATTTTATTTAAAAAAAACACAAGAAAACACATGAAATGCTAATAAATAACTTAATGCAATTGCTAAAATATTTAAAATACTTAATAGAAATACTTTAAATCTTCTAAAGTGTATATGTTAAGAAAATCCATTCATTTTTTCCTAAGTGAGCATTTGGAATTTATGGTGTATTGTAGTGTTTTTTTTTTTTTACAAAAGAGGTTGGTTCAAAGAAAAAATAATAGGTTGAAGAATTACTCTAATATGTCTAGAGATTAAGGTCCTAATTTTATTATCATCTAAAAAGACATTCAACTCATTTGACACAAAATTCGAAAGAATAAGGAGATAAATATTGTTCAAAGTAAGACTATAATCGCTATTCAATCAGTATCACGATTTCCTTCTCATCAAGTGTGGTTAGACTTGATGTGTCAATTCCTTTGGGTCATCCTTCTAATTCTACAAACTAAAGTTTAAAAATTTAACTTGTCTTCAATCACCTAGTTAACCATATCTATTAAGATTTTGGAGTTACTCTCGGCTACTAGATTTTTAATTCTCTCATGCTAACCTATCTTCAATGCAACATCGCCTACATCTCTGCAGTAAGAGCATCACACTGACTAGTTTTTTGCGCATATCCTCTTACCCAATTTTTGCATGAGTCTCTAAACAAGCCTCTGCATCCTACCTTGGAAATAGACTTCTTGCAGACACTGTCGCAATTGAGCTTGATCCAATTATCCTCTGGCCGATCCCAATGGGTATTATTGATCTCTGGTATTGATAACCTAACACTTCCCTTCACACGACCATTTATCTCGATTTCCTTTATAAGGTGCATGTTTGCATCTTATAAAGGGATTTGTTCCTCCACTTCCATAAATACCAACAGGAGATCGTGAATATTGACTTTCAATGGTCTTTGTGTGCATCTGTAATATTTCCTTTCAGATTGTAAGATATTCAATCCTTGTAAGACAGAGAGTAAAAATTAGTCATTTTATTTGGGGAAATTTCAATCCATACATATTTTGCATAGCAGCAATCTCGAAGCACATGAATTAAATTTTCTTCTTTTCTTGTACACCATCTGTAATCCCTAGATATATTTAGGTTCCACTTATGCCGTCGAGAATTTGTAGAGTCTCTCATGAGTCATGAGCCAAGTGTAGGTTTGGATCTGACGAGAACCTTTTTATTTCCAAATAATATTCTAGTTCATATATGTTTCCAGAACATCTAGAGAAAAAGAAAGATATTTATAGGCATTACCCACACAAAAATTTGTTTGTCTCTATAATCTCTCCTATCTTATCCTATATACTCCATCTTCAGGGAGAGGAGAAGGGATAACCATAATACACTTTATCAAGTTGGCATTGAACCAATTTTGAAACAATTCTAAATTTCACTTCCCTTCAATAATTATGTCAGAATAGGCCAACTTAGAGAAAAGAGACCGCTCTGTCGGAGTCCAACGATTTAGCCAAAAATTAACCTTTATGTCATTTCCAAACTTTTATAAAATATTTTTTTGAAAATTTTCCTCCACCTTTGTTGGCGCTCCCATAACGGAGAATCATTTAGCCTGCTAATCATATTTTTCATTAAATTCTACTTCCTACCATACTTAATAATGAGAACCTAACACTATAAATTATTAAGATCCTTCAAAATGTTCTAAAAGATTTTTCTTTTTTTAAAAAGCATCATTCACTAATTGAGTGTGTGGATCTCACTTAACATTCTTTTTTTTGGAAAGAATCCAAACTCAAATCTTAGAAGAAACAGTTTTTATTCATACTTGATTTAGTCGGCGAATTGCAAATTACCAGAATTTTCTTTCCCTGATAAAATTCTGAACCCCAAATTGATTTTTATTATAAAGCCAAATCACAAGAATATGGTTGTTTACACAGCATATTTGACCATTGCGCTAAATATGAGAATTTTCAGCGGACAGGGAAACCAATGTGCAGTACAACAATCACAACTTTCTCACTTAGAACACGTTGTAGAAATTAAGGTTTGATTCTCACAATAAACATTTTCAACATGAATTTATGAACCTTAATGTTAAAATATGTAGACACCATAATTTTAGAATGATTATTGCTTTCCCTTATAAAAGTATAAAATATGTTTAAATTACATATCAACGTTCTTACATTCTTAATACATCAATTCAGGTTCAAAATTAGAAAGAGTTTTTTATTCCACCTCTTGAGTTATTAACTATCATATCCATTTTCATAAATGCTTTTGATATATCTCTCAACGTATTTTCTTTTTTTTACTTAACGTTCAGATGCACTAATATATCTCTAAAATCTAAAAATATTTAAAAAAATGGGCATGGAGGCTAATTACTCGCAGGGTAAAGAATCCCCAAATTAGATATTTGATTTGTAAATAGTAAGATAATAAGTGATCCATGAAATCTTAAAAGAAATATTTAATATCATGTTAATAAATCATATTAAAAAAACTTCAACCAATTATATAAAGTTGAGTTCACATTTCTTAAATTTTAGATAAATGGAAAGAATTTTAAGAGTTCTTTTTACAAAAGCTAAAATCCTCTAAAAAAATTTATTAAATGAATAGTTTAGAGTTTTAAAAAACTTAGACTAAATATTACAATTTATAATATTTTAATAATTAAAAATATGTTAATAACAAAAATTATTTTATTATTTAATATTAAAAATAAAAAAATAAATTATATTTTTAAAGAAAAATCATTTTTGAAGTCATTTCTTCTCCTTCCCTTTAAATTCCAAAACAAAACTTAAGTGACTCAATTTCAACAGAACAATAATAGGCTTAAAAATAGATAAACTTGGTGATTTAAAACAATAATAATGGAGACAACACTTATAAGGGGTGTGTATCATCTAAGCCTTTAATGTATATTCTAGACCGACATAGCAGGCAACAATAACACCCTTCCATACATAATACTACTCCCTAACTTTTGAGTTGACACTCCACTATAACACACCTTCCCCACCACCCTAATTATTTGGTTACTCTTGTTCTCTCAAATTGCCACAGTGACTGAGACTTGATTAAACCACACTATGGAGAGTAAGGACCATAATAACCCACCACAACAAGACAACACTCCTCAACCGACTCCTCCTCCCATCAAAATCTTGTCTTGTCACACTCTCTTCCGCACGCGCATTAATCATCACGCATGCTATCCTCTACCACTCATTACTAACTAACTCAATTAATTATTCCCATCAACAAAGATTACAGTAATTACCAAACTATTACCCGCTAAAATTCAAGGATTTGTATCTCTAAACAAAGCAAAATAAGATTATGAAACTAAACAACCGACACACATTAAAAACATTATGTTACTATATTTTTCTATTTCTCTGAACAATCAAATTCCATCACATACATTTAATAATATCATATATTAAAACAAACTCAAAAAAATCAGATAGAAACTAACATGGAAGTTAGTTGTGCATGCACATCAGCAATTAAAATCAAGCTTAATAAGCTCCCAAATTTGAAAATGAAAAAGAAGAAAAAAAACAATATACACCTCATCAGCATGATTAATTATACCCAATTCTTCCATCTTCATTTCTTCTTTCATTTTTTTAAACTTTAGTTTTGATTTCAAATATTGTTTAAAGTTAAAATATATTATAATAATTATATAAAAAAAGTGAAAAATGATGAAAAGTAAAGTTGAGTTGAGTTGAGAGGCTTGATAATCACATCATGGAAGATGAAAGAGAGTGGAATGATCCTGATCCTGATCCTGATCAGACCATTGAGTGTGATTCCAGTAACCATGATCAACGGTGTTAGGAAGATCGAACAAACCTTGATCTGCACCATGCCAATCCAACGATCCAAATCCACCGTTGCTAGTTTTGCTTTGCAGCACAGAGAAATCAATACCGTGGTCCATCAACGATCCAGACGAGCCACCACCAGTACCGAGATTCTCCGGTAACAACTTCAATGCATCTTCGTGTTCGTGAGGTTGATCGCCGGTAACGGTCATCACCTTCTGATGTTGCCAGTTAAACGACGATGCATCGGTGAAACCGTTAACGTTACAGTTACTGTTACCGTTACCGAATCCAAACGGCAATGTGTCGTTAGAGGAAGTGATCAAGCTTGTGAAAGTTGCAATCTCTGAGAAAATACTGCAATCTCCTGCTCCTTGTTGTTCAAGTGAATCGTTTTCCAAACCGGTGTTGATTTTTGCGTTGGAGTTTGGTGGTGTTGGTTCTGAGACTGCTTCCGTTACCGCTGCCGCTGTGAGGCTGGAACTCTCGCTGCTCGAGTGAGAGTTTGATTTGTTCTCCGGCTCCGGTGGAGTAGTCGGCAAATCAGCGATTTCCGATGAGGAAGAGTTTTTCGGCTTGTTTGAGCGTTTGGATTTACGGCAACCGCCACCGACAGGGACGTTACGGAGGACGCCGCCTTTGGTCCAGTACCGACGGCAGTTTTTGCAGAAGTGACGAGGCTGGGAGAGGTTGTAGTTGTTGTAGTAACAGAATTTCGTATTGATGGAGTCACAGCGAGGACAGTTCAAGGCTTGGTTATTGTTTGGATTGTTGTTGTTGAGATGTGGCCTGAGTCTCCGGTCACCGCCTCCGCCGCCGAAGAACCTGGTACCGCCAGCGCCGATGGAATGTATTTCTTGCATTTGAGGATGGTTTGGGGATTGAGGAAGCAAGGAAAGGATCACCTGAGAGTGGTGTGTGTGTCAGTGTGTTAATGTTAATATGTGAGGAGTGTGGAGAAGAAGGAGAGGGAGAGAGAAAGAGAAAGGAGTTTCGATTGGGTCTTGTGATCTTCTCACTGACAAATATCCCCCAAACGTACTCTATCTTGTTTTTTTTAATATTTTTAGAATGATTTGACTCAACAGCCCCTACAACTTGGTCGTAAATACGTTCTACCCTAAATACAAAATATACTAAAATAGTATTTTATTTTATTTTGGTACAATACTAAAATATTTTATATCAAAAATATTATGGATCGATCATCTACTCTCATCTACGACATGATTTCTAAAATATTATGTAAGCTATAATTTTATAATATATATGAATTTTTATTGATTTTAATGATAGTTAAGATGTATATATAGTTTAGTAGTAAGGTGTGATACTAAGTACTCACTAATTACGGGTTATATATATATATAGTTTAGTAGTAAGGTGTGATACTAAGTACTCACTAATTAGGGGTTTAAATCTATGCAATGTCTTGAATTTATTTATAAATAGGTACACTTGAGAAAAAGATTTTAATTACATATTTTTAACAATAACAAAATTTAATAATCTTTAAGATCATTTTACTTATCAATGACAACATCACTCAAAAAAATAACATTCAATTTTGTAAAATTAGAAAAGTTTTATGGAGGCAACTTAGTCCGTTGGCAGAAAAAGATGAAGTTTCTACTTACAACATTGAAAGTGGTGTATATTCTGCACACTACAAGACCATTAGAGAGTGAAGAAGAAACCATTGCTGAAACAAGGGGAAAAAAATGGGACAATGATGATTACATTTGCATGGGTCATATTATCAACGGTATTGTTGCGGTGAGAATTGGATATCAAACTATTGATTAACTTGAATCACAAATCTTTTGAATATTCACCACTGAGCTTTGTTTTATCCAAGGGAAATGAAAAAGATCGTATAAAACCCTAACTTTGCAATGCAACAACAATGCTAAGAGATTGTAGGGTTCGGAGGTTGGTTATAATTAGGGAAGCATCCTAAGCATCTACAGTAATCTATAGGAACCTTTTGCTAGTATTTGTGTTATTGTTTTCTATTTGCTCTGAAATGTTTTGTGTTTGAGTTTTATGGGTGAGGATAGGAACCTAAGAGTTTAGTGACTAAGTATGCTCGCCAAAACTTCGCGGTCTTGTGCCTACATATCCTTACAAGGATGGAATCAGAGTATTTGTCGTTCACCTATCTAGGGATGATTGAACACTTGATTATGGTCAAGGTTCAAAGGGGGAGGCAAGTGTTAAAGGCCTAATACATGCTTCAAAGAAGTTACAAATCATGGTGACAACCAAGGTAGGACAAAGATGCTACAACATTTAAACATACATGAAGTATAGTTCTAACAAGACTAAGGCATCATGAAGTATAGTTCTAACAAGACTAAGGCTAAGTGTGGCCCAGGCCTGGTCAGACAAAGGGCGCCCAAGGCTGGTTCTTGCCCAAGAATATTAGCTTTCAACCTATTTGAAAAACCTATCATAACTCTTCCATTTCTCCATGAAAATGAGTGAAATAAAAATGAACCCTGCTTGAAATTTCATAAGGAATCCAGTGGTGGTGGTGGTTTTTGCTAAAGGTGATCCTATTTTAAAATACGAATGCATGACCTAAAAAAGCTACATTTTGCAAGTTCTGTGTCAAAGCTTCATACAGTCAATAATAGAACTTAAAGAAGGTTCAACCAAAATACATATGACATATTAAACCTGTTCAAATTTAATGCACATCAAAATAAAGCATATTTCACAAAGTTCAAGTTCTTTGGAAACTTACCTCTTGAAGCTGAACTTGCAAATTCCAAAAGACTTGTTACCATGGTAGTCAAAATCGCGATCCTAAGGATCGTACAATTCTACGATCTTGCAACTCCCCACCATGCCAGAAAATGATCAAAATCGGTTTTTGGTAGGCACAAGCAGAATCGTCGTGATTTCATGTGAAAACGGTGGGATCGCCGTTTCTGTTGAAAATTTCCGTTTTTATTTAAAACCCCATGAATTCGGGTTCGCGACCCGGTTCAGAAGAAAAAAAACCCTAAAAAACGTTTCATTTTATATTAAACGTTGAAACGATTTTTTTCCCTATATTGTAAAACAGAATCTTCCTAATAACTAGGATAATAACTACCCAGCCACCAAATAATTAAGGATTTATTCAACTTTCTAAAATAAATCATGATTAATATAACTTCCCAAAATAAATCATGATTAATATAACTTTCCAAAATACTTTTATTCATTCCAATTCTATAAATCTCTCACGTTAGATAGACTCACTCAATATTTTATTCTCCATCTTATATCTCACGATAAAAAAAAAACCTTTCCTTCTCTATTAAAAATAATTTCAATCTTTTCTCCAATGGCTTCAAATTCTGCTATTGGAACTTTAGTTGTTGGTGCTCTCACTGCTCCCCCTACAATTTCAACACCACCACACCAGAAAAAACTACCAAAAAATGGTCCTGGTAATCAAACTGATATAGCTTGGAAACATGGCATTGTTGATTATGATAATCCAAGAAAAATCCAATGCAAGTATTGTAAAAAAAAAAAGGCAACTTGAGGTGTCTACAGGCTAAAGCATCACTTGGCTAGAACTCAAAAAGATGTTGAAGCATGTAAGGCTATCCCAGATGAAATCAAGAGAGAAATACTGCAAGTTTGTTCAAGATTGCAAGAAAATTTGATCAAAAAAATAGAGTCAGTGGTGGAGGAAGAGAAGTCAGAAGTGGGCTAAAAAAGAATGACTAGTAACTACTCTGGAAACATATTTAAGAAAAGGTGTTTCTGCTCAAAACCTAGCATCAATGCATTTTTAAAGAAGGGTTTAAGAGATGATGCATGTCAAGCAATTTCAAGGTTTTTTTTACAATAATGCATTACCACTCAATGTAGCAAGGAATGAGGAGTTCACTATCATGTTTGATATGATTTTAAGATATGGTAATGGATTCAAACCACCATCTTATCATGACTTGAGAATTAAGTTGTTAAACCAAGAAGTGAAGTTGACACATGAAGCTTTGGAAGAGCATAGAAAGGAATGGAGGAAGATTGGTTGTGTAACACCCCACTTCCCAAAATTAAAATAAAATACGATTAATCCAAATAAACATCAGAGTCTCCCCTCATCAAGTGGGATATCACATCACATAATCCATAATACTCTTCATTAGAAGGTTTTCAAAACAAAACAGCGGAATAATATTTAATTCATCATTCTCGGCCATCCGCCGAATTACATAAAAAGATTCATGAAAATGTTCACCAACATGATACGTCACAGGAAATAAAACAAGTTCAGCATAAAAACAAATAAATACTCAAGTCCCGTGCTACGTATCAGAGCATCCTAAGACTCGACTTGCACACCACTATCCAAGCTAGTTAAGTACCTGGATTATCTGTACTTCCGAAGAAACACAGACCACAACAACAACAAAGGGGTGAGAAAACATGATCAAAATTATCGGTAATACAATACATGAAATAAAGGTAGCAATCATATGAAATTTCAGCCAACATTCATAAAAAACGACCTACTGTCCAACAACAACACAACACACCATAATGCAAATATGCAACTCAACACCATGCATGCGGTACCGATGCATTGGTTCATTCAATCAAACCCCGGATATATCACATACACCCGTCCTTGGCCATGATCTATCCCCACCATTCTTCGCAATGGAGTACGGATGAATCACCTACACTCCTCTTGAGCAACGATTCATCCCACCAACACCATGATATGCATAACACCAAATGCACAACAAATGAACTCAAGTACACAAGGTGCACATGATCCCCTGATCACATCACCATACATCATACATACACATTGTTCATCAATTAATTATTTTAATTAAAGTCACACGATCCCCCCTGATCACCTCACCATACCCCATACACACCTCACACATCAATTTAATTATTTGATTAAATTCAATACTGCATAATTCCACCTACCAACACCAAGTACATACCCTACACCACTACACACCACATCTGTACCTGTCCCAGCCAAAGGGATCCTACGAAACGAATCACAACACAATACAGCATAACACACATTCTGTCACGCTCGCTGGCTCATTCGCTTAGCGAAGCCCTAGCAAACGCTCGCTAGCTGCTCGCCTAGCGAAGGCAGACAGTGGCTATTGGAAGCCTTCGCTACCTGTCGCGGTGAAATTTGGATACCAAGCTATTGATTAACTTGAATCTAATTCATTTGCAACCGAACTTTGATTTGTCCAAAGGAAGGGATAAAGATCGAAATTCCCACAATGCAATGCAAATGCAAGCTAGAGAGTTTTAGGTTCGGGGGTTGGTTAAACTTAGGGAAGGTACTAGCATCCTAAGTTTCTGTAATACTCTACAGGAACCTCTTGTTTTATGTTTGTTTATTGCTAAGGGTTATCTGCTAAAAGGTTAAAGACCTAGGGGTTTATTTCTAAGTATACTCGATAAGATATCGCATCTTATGCCTACATATCCTTACGGGAGTGGAATCAGAGTATTTTGTAGTTCTCCTAAAGGGTTTGAGGAGTTCTTTGACTGTGGTCAAAGTTCCTACGGGTTTAGGGTAGTTGATTGATTGATTTTGGGAGAAAAGATGAGTTGTCATTTTAAGGGAGATTTAACCGCCACAAGTTGTAGAAAAATAGTTTTTGCATCGTCTTAAGAGAAGGGCTCAAGTACTCGGATATAGATCGACGAGGTACGCCTCTATCTCTCTTAAGGCAAAGTTCCTACGGTATTGATTGTATTGATGTGGGGTGGAGATTCTATCTCGCTTAAGATGATTAACATCTTTTCTCTAATGTGTTTGAATATTTTGTATTGAGTTGATTGTTTGTTTCTATGTTGTAAAGGATAGTTG